CACACCATAGGGTTCACATGAATGTTCATACCTTGATATAGGCACGAAGATGAACGATTGTTCATACACATGTTAATTAAATACAAATTTTTGACCAATTTATCCTTTGAACAATTGTTCATACACACATTAATTAATATATTAATTAAATTATTGTTTATTTAATCTCATTTAATAATAACCGTTAGATTAGAAAATGAACGATTAAGATGGGTTAGCATAGTTTGCACAAAATATTGGATTAATATTTGAACCAGCCCCTATATATATATATATATATATATATATATATATATCTCCATGTGTATATATAATGTTAATTAGATTTGTTACATATAGAAGAGTTATATTATAGAGCTAGTTTTTTCATCTTTTTATTAAATTAATCATTAGATAATTAGCAATATTGGTCTCTTCCAAATTCCAATTATCATCACATCACCTTTTATTCCCTTTATGTCATTTTGCCTCCTTTTTTATGTTCACATGAGTTACCCTCATTTCCACATAAAATACCATTTTTAAATAAATCTCTCTCATAACATGAGTCAAATACATGGTTCTAAATAATCTTTTAGAAAGTGTTTTCATGCGTTACGACGTGCTATTTTGTAAGGTATCGGTTTTATTCTTCTTTAATGTAACACCCTAGCTTTCATTTTACATAAAAACACATATAATTCATATAACATGAAATATAAATATACACATTGGTCCCAGATATACACAAATGGCTACATACAAAAGTAGCTACAAACTTTTTGTTCATATAATTATATGATTTGAATAACAAAAATTCTCAAATCATGTACATATTCAGCTTCCTAAAAATCCACAGATGTAAAGTTATAATAAATCATTTATATCTTCTTTTTCCCTTTATCTTCTTATGGTGTCCGACTTGTAATGCACATTTTTTAAAACAAAACGAGAGTTAGACCATAAGATCTAGTAAGTAATTCCTCTGATTGCTATTACAGGGTGAAAATCACCAAACTTTTTAGAAAACCAAATCTGTGAAACAACAATATACAGATATCATTATTGAAATCAAACATCTTTTGGTAGCATCATATAGATGAGACAATTCCCTTTTCATTGCATCAAAGCCATGAGGTACCAAACTTATCGCATCAAACACATAACACACCAATTTTTCGTATCTCGTTGTTGCAATAATACATTTTGTCGCATCAAACACATGTGATAATTCTACTTGTCGTATATCAAGGATATGATGAGTATGATACCTCACATCTCAAGGATGCGATAAATCCCAGATGTCGCACCACAAGGATGCGATAAACACTATCCTCACACCATACTGATGCGATAACATAACTCTTCGCATCAAGCATATGCAGTAACCTCATTTCCTCGCATCATACTAATGCGACAACACAATCTTATCGCATTAAAATGATGTGATAACATTATCGCATGATCAAAAGATCATCATTTCCAGAAATTGATTATGCTACCCTTATCCTAATATAAGCATCTCTTGATTTTGCCACCCTTATTTCAAATGTACGTTTCTCTTGATTATGTCACCCTTATTCCAATATACATTTCTCCTGATTATGTCACTCTTATTCCAATCAGTTGATAATAACAATTAATTTTATGCTAAAATCATTTGTAAAATCACATGTGATTCACTCGACTTAGGCTATGACCTGAGATTGTGGGCCAAGTCACCCCCTCATCCTTCCGTTGACCCTTTTTTGAAATCACCTGTAATCTCAATACAAAATCACATATGATTTGTCGTTTTCGTGTTTTCTTATTTCGACAATGTTCTCCTTTGATCCTTCGTATATAGTCAAAGGTTCAAAAGAAGCCACAAATATTTTGGGAACTTGAAAACTGATCTCGGCCTTTTTGCATTTCTAATCAATAGAAGAAACTATTGATGACATTTTTATAATTAAGATAAAGATTAGAAAGATAGGTCATAAGTATCGTTTAATTACGGGGTGAGCTAAATGCATCTATACATGTATTGTTAAATGCATTATTATCTACTAATTTCTTCCTCACACGCATCAATAAAAAAAACTTAACTTTTACATTCTAAATACTGATTTGACATGATTCTGATATAAAAAAAGATACATGTAATGCCCTTCATTATATAATATAAACATATATGAAGAATATCATAAACATACTAATATTCATAATGAATAACATAAACATATATGAACAATATCATGAACATGTAGTCCTCATCGTTAAAGGTTGCAAATACAAGTTCAAAATCGAGCAACAACAGAGGCCATAGGTTCAAGTTCAATAAAGGTTGTGTGTTGGTAGGGTAAGGTGGGTTCGAGTTCAAGCCACAACAAAGGCAATGGATTCAATTTCGATCAAGGTGGTGGATTACGGAAATTAGAGAGGAGAGAGAAATAATATGTGTAAATTACTTATTTACCCTTATGAAGTTAAAAAAAAAAGAATCAATTAAATCATCATATGATTAAACTTGATGGAGGCTTATATGATTAATTGTTTTCTTTTATATCTTGACAAATTTGTATGTAATTTAACTCCAAACAAATGTCTTGTTTGATCAAGAAGTTAAAATGTTTGTTTTAGATCAAAATATCACTTTTTTAAATTGCTCTCTTAACCATTTTTCGTGAATTTATCCAAATATCACTACATCTGCAAGTCTTACGTCTGCCATTTACGAACCTAGTATAAAGACAAAAAAAAAGTTAAATTGTAGACCTGTTGCAATTGTGGACTTGGCTGTCACAATTGCAGACCTGGGTCAAATTTGATAAGAAAAATTGTCTATTAGCTGGGTCCGCAAGTGGCGGACATGAAACTTGCGGACGTAATGATATTTAGGTAAATTAGGTAAATGAATGACTAGAAAACCAATTTATGTGAGAGAAATGATTAGTTTTAGGGGTGAACACGGGTTGGGTTGGGCGGTTTATGACGTTTTTTCAACCCAACCCAATTACGGCGGTTTGAAAAATTTCAACCCAACCCAACCCATTCAAAAGTATAACCCAACCCAACCCTTGCGGGTTAGGGCGGGTTGGGTTGGGTTGGCGGGTTACTAAAACTCATAAAATTTGNATGCAAATCCCCCCAAATCTATTCTATTTCTTCAAGTCAAACGGGACCTCAACATATATAATAAAATGTTTATTAATAAATTATATAATATAAGTGATATAAAAGAAATATATATTTATTAATAATTTATTATAAAATATAATATAAATAAATAAGAAAGAAAGAATTAAAAAAAATTAATTAATAATTTAAATAAGAAAACAACAAAAAGACATAAAAGCAAAAAAAGTAATGATTATAATAGTCTTAGGGGTTCCCTTAACATATGCTACGGGTGCCATTAGCCTTCCTCTTAAAATAGTTATCACAATATTTTCAAATCATAATCGACAAAGGACGCATTGATATAAAAAGTTTCTGATAATAATAACAAGATTTAAGAAATAAAGATAAATCTATGATAACTGAAAATTATCGATAAATAGTAATTAATTTTGTTGAAACAATTTATGAATTAAAATCTAAACAAACCCATAGTTTCATCCCACCTTGTCCAACTTCATTTTTATATCGTGTTATGTCAAACATGAGACTATTTTTTTTGTCCCGTCGTGTAAGATATAGTCTTCATATGTCAAGAATGTCATAGGTTTTTTACTTTCTTTTAAATATAGAAAACAAATTTCTTCAACTAAAAGTTAACGGATTGTTAACGTAGTCTTTACATATTAAGAAAGTCATAAGTGCAAACTTTTCTTTTAAATATAGAAAATGACTTTCGTCCACTAGAAGTTGTTAGTGAATTGTTAACAATAGAATGAACTTGGCTTCTTGTTTGAATCGTTCAAGTTGTTCGCTTTGTTACGTCTAAATTTCATTATTTTATTGAACTTTCATATGTAAAAAGTTAAAGACGATTAATAAAAATATGTTAGGGCACGTATGACGAGGGACCAACTCAACGTACGATATATTTAAATGCTTCAAATATGCTTGTTTTTGATGATCATAATCAAATTGACTCCATAGGCCATCTCTCACTTGCACACAAAAACCTCTCTTTTCTCTGTATCTATGGCAACGTCTCCTGCATACGCCTCTAGTTTCTTTCCCCTGATTTCCCCCAATGCCTCCACCTCCGTCTATCAAGTCGCTATCCACCCTTATTTTAAACCCACGAAACCCCGACCCCAAAAATCTTTCTCGATTCTCTGCTCCCATCGTCTGGACTACATCCCAAACCATATTCAAGACCCTAACCATGTTCGCATTTTTGATACAACTCTTAGGGATGGTGAACAGGCCCCGGGTGCCTCTATGACCTCTAAGCAAAAGCTCCATATTGCCCACCACTTGGCCAAACTAGGTGTTGACATCATCGAAGTGGGGTTCCCTGCTTCCAATAAAGTTGATCTTGAAAGCGTCAAGTTAATTGCACATGAGGTTGGAAACACAATTGTTGATGGCGGTCATATCCCAGTGATTTGTGGCCTTGCGAGATGCAGTAAGAAAGACATTGATAAGGCATGGGAGGCCTTGAAGTATGCCAAATTCCCAAGGATACATATTTTTATAGCGACGAGTGAGATACATATGAAGTATAAGTTAAAGATGTCGAAAGAAGAAGTAATTGAAAAGGCGAGGACTATGGTAACATATGCCCGAAGTTTGGGTTGTAATGATGTACAATTTAGCCCAGAAGATGCAGGAAGGTAAATTTGAATATATCATAAAATTTTGAAAAATATATATATCGATATTAATGTCAAATTAATTATTTAAAGTTATCATTTTTTTCTGTAATTTCCTTAATTCAATTTTTTTATTATAGTTTAATTTAAGTTTAATAACGAAGTCTTTTATTTTTGGTTAATAATCTAATTCTTTTTATAAAAATAATAATTAGGTATTTTGTTAGAACTTCATGCTTATCCTTGTTATATTTTAGATTTTTTTATATTTAAAATGAGATATTTATCCTATATTTAATTATGTTTATCTACAGTTGGTTACACAAATTCAAATATAAAGTTTTAATAACTTGTACTTATGCACAATATGCTTATTAGTTTTTATCAAATGGCTTTATAATATAGTATAGATAAAAAGGGTGCATTTTAATCTTTTTAGTTTGATATTCATAATGATAAAAGGAATCCATGAATTATGTAAACCATGGTTTTTAATGTTAATTTTTTTCAAGCCATGCTCACATGTGAAACTGGTCTTAAACCAGACGTTCCTGTCTTGTTCTTTTCAAGCCATATTCACATGTGAATATGGTCTGAAGGAGGACCATCATCATTTGTCTGCATATGAATAGTTAACCATCATACGTAAACATACACATGCAAATCTACATTACATATGAATATAGTTATTTGACAATTACTGAATGATTTAGTGCAAAATGATTAAAAGTCTCTCATGATATAATGCAAAATGAAATATAATCGTTTGGTAATTGTGTACAATGAAATTATGGCTCTTAATGGTCAAGGGAGATCCATGGTACGAAATCATTCAGAGGGTTTAAACTTTTATTTTACCAAACAAGATTCGTCTCTTAACGATTCAGAGGTTGACTCTTAACGAGAAGAACCTACGATCGGTTTATGTGATGTTTGTTAATTAAGTGCAGATCAGAGAGAGAATTTCTATATGAGATCCTGGGGGAGGCCATTAAAGCCGGTGCCACCACTCTTTGCATTCCTGATACCGTTGGCGCTAATTGGCCTCGTGAGTTTGGGCACCTCATTGCTGACATACGAGCCAACACCCCTAACATCCACAATGTCATCATTTCAACTCATTGCCATAATGATCTCGGATTGGCCACTGCAAATACTTTAGAGGTCAATCCACGTACATATATATATATATATATATATATATATATATATATATATACACACACACACACCTGTTATATATGTTCTTAGTTTGTGTTTGGTTTGTATATATTAATATATATGCTAACATATATATATATATATATATATATATATATATTATATGGATTCCAGGGGGCTTATTCAGGTGCAAGACAAGTAGAAGTAACAATAAATGGAATCGGAGAAAGAGCTGGTAATGCTTCTTTGGAAGAGGTGTGTTGTAGGTTGCTTGTTCTTTGTAATTTATCTGAATGCATGCCTTTCGATTATTCATGCATGTCCTACCCAACCACATGTATACTATATACGTACAGGGCCGCCCCTGAAGGGCGACACAGGCGCATGTTTGTGTCGCCCTCCCAGGCCTAAAAATATCAAGGGGTTCAAAAATTTCCTTTAAAATACAATAGTAATATAAAAGAATTTAATAAATTAAAATAAATCCAAAAAATTGTAGCATATAATAAGAGGGAAAAAAAATTTAGTAGATAATAAAGGCACAAAAATATATCAAGTAATTGCATTGGAGAATAAAATAAAAAAAATTAATTGGTCATTCTTTATATACTATTGTTTATTGTCTTTTTAATTTTTTTTTTCTCCAATAAGGTCCAATGATATTGGCTATTGCTATCTCTATATGTTTGACTGTTTTTGTGCTTCAACAATTCAACTTTAAGATCATGTGCTTGCTATTGCTATATATTTTTGTTGGATATTTTTATCAATTTATGTTTCTATTGTCTATTGTTATTTGGTTATCTTGTTTTAATTGTTTTTGTTGACTATTGTTATCTATTTTTGCTTCTATATAAAATATTTTACTTTTGTTTGACAATTAATCTATTGTTCTTATAATTTATGACGTGTTTCATGGTTTTGTGATTAATGAATACATTTTTTCTACTAGATGTATTTAGTAATGTCTCTTATATATGTCATATTCCATAAACTTTTAATTGTAACATCTTATTTTAGTTGAACAAAAAAAGAAGGAAAATAGAATTTAAATATTTTTATCAATTGTTTGAATAATGTATCTTTCATTGGAATTCCACCACACCACAAAATTCTATTTAAGTGCTTAAATAATCATTTGCTGAGGTTGCATATTATATGTTTAATTCATTATTTATTCTTTTTGGATCTCAACGGATCATCTTTTCTTTCATATTTTTATTGATTCATATTTATCTATTTGTATAGAAAACCTTGATAATATTATTTATTATTGATATCTCATTGACCCTCATGATTACTTCATTCACACGAATTCTCTTTTTGTATCAAAATAACACATATTTTTTGTTATTAAGATTTCTTTCCTCACTAAATTATTAGCATTTCTAGCACTTAATTTTATACTAATGAAAAAAAATTATTAATTTTTTTTTCGTATTCACCGATGGTCACTACAAGAAAAGTGAACTCTGACGATGCACTTTTTAGCGATGACATGTTTCCGCTACAAGTTATAGCATGCCGCTGTTATATGTTCTTTCTGATTATAAATGAACTTTTTGCGACGATAAAAGTCGTTGCCTTATTTCTTGCAGTGGACCTGTTTTTACGTTCGTACAAGACCTATAAAATGTCAGAAATGGGCTTGTATATGTATATATGGCTCACTTTTTGTTGAATATATATATATATATATATATATATATATATATATGTAGGTGGTAATGACTATAAAATGCAAAGGAGAGGCAATGGGTGGTCTGTACACCAACATCAATACAAGACATATCGTCATGGCTAGCAAGATGGTAATTTATATATATACATATAGAAAGAGAAAAAGATCGAATGAGAACGGTGTGTATTTAAAAGAACACAAAAACAGACAAATCACATGTGATTTTACATTAATGATAAAGAAAAGTGTGAGGGCTACTTGTGGAGGCGTCTTCAGGTCACCAGGCAAAGTCGCCTGAATCACATGTGATTTTGTATGTGATGTTAGTATAAAATCACATATGATTCGTCCGTTTTCGTGTTCTTTTAAATAAGTATTGTTCTCGTTTGGTCATGCATGCCTTTCTCTTTATATATATATATATATATATATATATCAAAACTATATGAACTTCTAATCAATATCACCATTTATATATATATATATATATATATATCAAAACTATATGAACTTCTAATCAATATCACCATTTAGCTTTCTATTTCACTTAATTTATACTTTGTGTTAATTATTTAGGTGGAAGAGTACACCGGAATGAATTTGCAACCTCACAAGGCTATTGTTGGTGCTAATGCTTTTGCTCATGAAAGTGGAATTCATCAGGTTGGTGTTTGGTTCAAAAAAATAATTCGCTCTTACCACGTAAGATTTTTGGTCCTTATCATATTCATCCGGTAAGGAAATGTGATTTGGTAAATGCTTATCCAATTAAACATTTGATAAACGACCCTTAACAAAACTATATTTAGTTCACATTGGTTCAGCATTAATTCGTGTCTGTAAGACGTGCGTTTGCACACACAAGTTCAATTGTACGAACCCATTTTGCTATCATGTGGCTTGTTCTAATAACTTCCTACATATCATCTTCGATTAATTTCTATCGAGTAGGACGGAATGCTAAAGAATAAGAACACATATGAAATTATGTCTCCTGAAGATATCGGACTTCTTCGAGCTAATGAATATGGACTTACACTTGGAAAACTTAGGTATATGAATTTCAGTTGGTTAACTATGTAATATTTTGGCATATATCCGATGATTGTTCATTTGCATCGAATTTTACATATACATATCGGAATTGTCCATCTGTCATTTTTCCTTGGTTGCTTCATGACTGCTTCGCTCTTTTAATAACCTTAAAGTATTGTTGAACAGTGGACGCCACGCTTTGAAAGCTAAACTGTATGAGGTACTGTTTAATGTTTAACTCGTCATGTGATTGATGTGACCATCACTTAATTTTATCGGTCTACGTTAAACATCTATTCTCTCTCTTCAGCTCGGTTACAACTTTGAAGGAGCAAAACTTAATGATCTCTTTTGGCGCTTTAAATCGATAGCTGAGATGAAAAAGGTAGCGAAAATTATATCTTAGTATTTATTCGATGTTGAATGGGAGATATATTGATTTGGCTGCTATACTTGCTTTGTTTGTATATGCAAGAGTTTTGGCCGCATGCTAATTGCCTCGTTTATATCCCAGATTGTCACTGATGATGATCTATTGGAGTTGGTGTGAAAATGAAGTACGAAAGTTTCATTGGCTAAGTGTTATCTGAGTTACCGATAGACTCAAGCTCAAGAGTTTAAACCTGATGAAAATGTACAAAAGATTCTAGAGTAAAAAAAAATTAATTATAATATATTATTTTCAAGATAACTATTTTGTTTGTAAAAAAAGTAAGATTTCTTATTTTATTTTGTTAAAAATAATACATATCTTTTAACGTTGTTTTAAAATGTTAGAGACATAAATTATGATCTACAAGTTTTTTTAATATTGTTATATTAACGAATAATTCAAAAAAATATAATTAATTTAATATATTTATATGTCAAGTAAAAAAAAATTAAACAAGTATGATATATTTTTAAAAAAATATTAGCAAGATAAGTTATGTTTTACTAATTTTTTTTTATATTGTTATATTAATAAATAATTTAGAACTTTCTGATTCATTTAATATATTTATTAAATAATATGTAAAAGCAAAAAAAAAAATTCCAAGTATAATGTTGTAATAAGAAATGTCATGCCATCAAAATTTCACGCGTGGACATCCCAGGTAGACAATGACATGACATGAAAAGTTGGTAACTTGTATCATGTTATCTTAATTCAAATCAAAAGGTTACCCAGTATTATAATCTCGATTTTGGGAGATTAAATTTTTAATTGAAATTTTAGAAACAATATATTAAATTTAGGTAAACATGTTTGATTAAATGTACAATTTAGTACAATCTTGTAATAGGAATTGGTGATGCCGTAATCAAATAATTTTAAAAGTACAATATATATACTATATTATAAAGCATTTGACAAAAACTCTTAAAAACAACTTTTTATGCATAAAGTACTGTTTATTAATGCATGTTACTTAAAATTTAAGATTACAAGTAGATTATAAGTACAACTTATTAAAGCTCCATATCTGAATTCGTGTAACTAATCGCAGATAAACATAATTAAATACATGATAAACAACTCATTTTAAATATAAATAAATCTAAAATATAATTAGGATAATAATTGAGTTTTAACAGAATACTTAATTATTATCTTTATAAATTGTTATATTATTGAACCAAAAATAAATCATTTCATTATTAAACTTAAATTAAATTATAATAAAAAAATTAAAGAAATTACATAAAAAATGAGAACTTTTAAATAGTTGATTTGATATTAACATTGATATGTTTTTTTTTTTCAAATTTTAATGATATCTTCAAATTTATATTTTATTCAAAAATAAAATCATTATTGTTTTCTTAAAAACACATAAAATCGTATTATAACATCAACAAAGACAAAGAACAAAATAAATCATTAAAATCGAGATGTGTCTCGTTGCATTGTGCGAGTACTCTTCTAGTTATAATAAGAAATGTCACGTCAACAATATGGTACATGTGGACAACCTACATGGAGAATAAGGTGACATGAAAACTGGTAAAATGGGTAAATTTAAATCAAAACGTTACCTAATGCTATAATAGATAGAAACTTTAAAGTACAATGCCCTAATAAAATATAATTTAAAAATATATTGTTTTAATGAGTAAAACTGAAAGTAAAATGTTATAATAAAAAAATTTATAAAAGTAAGTTGTTATTTTATGCATTTTTCGCATGTGTAAAACACTATCTAAGAACATAACAATTGCATATGCCTACCTATAAAGTACTGGCATTAGCCATTACTAGATCAAAAAAACAGCTAATTTTTCGAGTAAATATTTTGTTGATCGAAGGTTTCCCCTGCCTTATCGATATCATTCTTATTACACCTTGCGAGGCTACGAATCATTGGAATGCGACCAACACTATCAATTGTATTTTCTACCTTATGTCGAATTAACTTGACGTTTTCTAGATTAGCATTGTTGGAAGCATGAACAGCTTCAATGATGTCAAACCCTAATTTGGCCAAGTGATGAGGAATACGAACTTGATTAATTATGACCAGAAAGAGATAAATGGTTGAAACATTAATATACTATATTGAGTTTGTGTTCTCATCATACATGTCACTGCTAGAAAACTAAGTATCAACGACGGATATTAGAGACGAAAAAAATCCCTCATAGATCAGCGACGGATTGGCCAAAAATTAGTTCCATCTCTGATCCCTCGGCGAGGGATCAGCAAGGGAACTAGTTTTTGGTCAATCTCTCGCTGATCCGTTGTTGATCTACGAGTGATCTGCAAGGGAACTGGTTTTTGGCCAATCTCTTGCAGATCCCTTGCAGATCAGCGACGAATCAACAAGGGATTGGCCAACAACCAGTTTCCTCCTAAATCCGTCGCTAATTTGCAACCAAAAACCAGTCACCTCACAGATCTCTCGCTAATCTGCGACAGATTGAATATTTTGAATTGTATGAATTAGTTAGTTTTAATTTGTTCACGGTTTTGGTTTGTTATTTTAATGTCAAGTTTTGTATAAATAAATATAGGAATTATGTAATCATAAATTATTTATTTTTAAACTTATAAAATTTCCCATTGCTTAGAGTTTTTGGTCCCTGATAATCCATCGCTTAAAAGTCTCTCGCTAATCCGTCGCTGAAAGTTTTCGTCGCTGAAAAACTCACTGATTTGTCGCTGAAGTTTTCATCGCTGAAAAACCCTCGCTGATTTATCGCTAAAAGTTTCTGATGTTGATCCGTCACTGAAAGTTTTCGTCGCTGAAAATTTCCGTCGTTGAATTCTATCGTTGATCCGTTGCTGATAGCATTAATTACGAGTTTTTGACTGACAGATGATCAGCGTGGATGAGGCCTTCAGCGACGAATTTACGAGGAATTTTTCCGTCGTTGGTACTCTTCATAATTTATATTAACTGGGATACTCTTCATTTTTGTAGTGATCAAAACTCAATTTAAGAAAAAACGTGAAAGTCTCGACTCGAGCGGAAGTGTGATGTGTCTGAAAACTCTGGATTTTATTTATATTTAAAACGTCCATCCAACACCGTAAATCACGATTTGGTGAATACTAACATCAGATGAAAGAACGTCATTAAGTCAATACTTTCATTCCATGTATATATAAGTGATATAATATATACTTAAACTACATTTGTTATTATAAATATTACAATAATCACAACTCTTGTTAAGAAAAAATGTATCATTTGCATTCGTTTTGCACACAAAAAATACCAATTGGTTGGTTTTTATTTCAACCATTGTTATAGATTTTCAAACTCTATCATGCTTTATACATTCATCATCTTCTTATAGATTTCAAAGCTCCATCAAGATTTTATACGTCCATCATCTTCTTCCAAACTATCATCTTTCTACCAATGTGAAATGATGAAAGTCAACCTTATTTTAGATTTGAGGAACAATCAAACCTCATGTTGCCAAGTCATCGTCTTTGGTTTCACTTTTAGTTTTGTACTATGATTTTTACCATTTGGTTGGTTTTGATTCCAATCATGGTTATAATTTCAAAGAGAGTTATCCAAAATAAGACAAACCAATGAGGAAAACCCCATGAATTGACATAAAGACACCATCCATCTTTTTATGAACTTCACTTTGTTCAAATCTTTCAACTCTACCAATTTGGGACAATTAAAACTCAATCACAAATTCACCATATTAGAATATTCAATTATCCTGGTGTCACCTCACTATCTTTAGGTTTTACAAAAAACTTTTTGGATGCATTTCGGTACATTTCATCCTAATGTGCATCAAAGGATGGAGATTCATTTTCTTACGCTTCTCACCTTAACTCTCTTTCTCACCGGAACTCAACCCTCTAATCTACCCTCATCGAGTATCTCTCTCATGATTAAAAAGTCTTGGGAACATTTATTTTTAAATGGAGGGAAGGGCTTAGCCTAGGAAGGGGAGAGTGGTCAAAAACGACAAATTGTAAATTGGTTGAAATTTCTATATAGGTTCGAATCATGTCTTTCCCACTTGTTTGTTGTAGATTTCAAAGAAGAGAAAAGATATGTATTTGGTTCATTTTTCTTTTGTTAGTTAATTTGTTTTTTTAATAGTGATTATTTTTTAACATGAGACTATTTTTTTTTGTCCCGCCGTGTGAGATATAGTCTTCATGTTAAGAAAGTCATAAGTTTTTTACTTTCTTTTAAATATACTATAGGATACTCGTGCAATGCATCAAGACACATCCCAATTTCAACGTTTTAATTATTTTATTCTTTATCTACATCGACATAATTCGGTTTTATGTGGTTTTGAGAAAACGATAATATTTTTATTTTTGAATAAAATATCATAAAATTTTGAAAAAACTATATCGATATTAGTATCAAATTAACTATTTAAAAGTTTTTGTTTTGTGTAATTTCTTTAATTCAAAATTTTTATTATAATTTAATTTAACATAACGAAGTAATTTAATTTAGGTTTAATTATATAATTCTTTATAAAGATAATAATTAAGTWTTATGTTAAAACTTAATGATTATCCTAATTATATTTTAGATTTTTTATATTTAAAATGAGATGTTTATCTTGTATTTGATTATGTTTATATGCAATTAATTACACAAATACAAATATGGAGCTTTAATAAGTTGTACTTACACACAATTTACTTGTAATATTGAATTTTAAGTAATATGCAAAAATAAACAAACTTTGTGCATGAAAAATGGTTTTTAAGGGTTTTTGTCAATTGCTCTATAATATAGTATAGATAAAACAAATTTCTTCAACTGGAAGTTAACGGATTGTTAATGTAGTCTTTACATATTACGAATGTCATAAGTGCGAACTTTTCTTTTAATATAGAAAATAACTTCGTCAACTAGAAGTTGTTAGTGAATTGTTAACAATAGAATGGCCTTGGCTTATTGTTTAAATTGTTCAAGTTGTTCGCTTTGTTACGTCTAAATTTCATTATTTTATTGAACTTTCATATGTAAAATGTTAAAGACGATTAATAAAAAATATGTTAGGGCACGTATGATGAGGGACCAACGCAACGTACGATATATTTAAATGCTTCAATATGCTCGTTTT